AGTAATTGACTATCTACATTAATAATAATGTTCAATTTTCATGAGGGAAGAGAATGGTTCTTGTGCCAAGACAAATTAAATTTATTACTTGCAACTACAGATATAGAGATGAAAATCATTATTAAAAAGTATAAAGAGGCTTTTGACAGAATATCTGTTAAAGTTGTTCTGGGTAACTCTGGAAGAAAAAATCCATTTATTAAAAAATTTACAAGAAAATGAGAACATAAAAGGGCACTTTGATTTGTGTAACAACCTAATTAACATCTAATGTATTATCAAGATACTTCTTGACTTCTTGATCAATGTGTTACTGTCTTCTCTGTTGTTTTTGTAAAATATGCCACAGCTGTCAAAATCCTGAGCTAAAATTTCAAAAGCTTTCAGCTGTCAGAAGATTAATGGTCATTTTGTATGCATAGAAACTCATAGGATTTGTTTTAACATTTTTTTCCATTTTTTTTTCTTTATTCTTATCTTTATGGTTTTAGCTCCACAAAGAAAATGGTATGATATTGAACGAGTTATATTTGAATAACAGAATAACAGAGTGCTGAATCCATGATGCCAGGATTGCATACTGTTAATTAAATGTACTGCAATTCATCCAAGTGCTTTTAGGAGCTCTGCTGAACAGGAACTGAAAGTCTTATTATTTAAGTGAATTTGCTTACAGCTCTAATTTTTAGTTCATATATGTGTAAAATTCAACATGTGTAAATTCTTCAGAGAAGCATTGGATACTTCATACTTCTGTGTTATGTTTCCATATATGCTTTCAAACTCCATCAGTGAAACACCATCTGGTTACTATTATATAAAGGACATGTGTCTATTTTCTATTGAAAGTAAAAATTTTGGATGGGATGTTGGCATGGTGTGGGACCATTTATCCCAATGGCACTCATGAATAAATTTTTTAAATGATAAAGCAGTATGAAGTCAATATAAACTTGAAGAATTTGAGCATCAGTTAAATAAAATCAAAAATAAACTCTTTTACCTCCTTTCTTCCAAGAAAAGATTACAGTACGCTTTTTAAAATCAAATAATTACATCATACCGTAAGAGACACCAGCCATATTTGAGGTTTAATTTTCTTTACCAGAACTGATGAAATCTCAAATCATTGTCTGTTTGAGCACCCAAATATCCTGGCATTAGTAGAAGACTCTTTTAATGGGCTCCCCAAAATATTCAGGAGAAAAGCAGCTCTGCAAGAACATTTTAACTAGATGATGGCTTCTACTTCATGTATTTCTATGCTTCTATTTTTAAATGAGTGTCTCAAGCTGTTGCTTATTGAATAGAATTTCTGCATGAAACCCTGCTCTCTCTGCCTCTTCAAAGAGTTTTCAGGACAACACAGCTAGGTTTATGTTTGACTGCACGGAGATCTAAGCTTATTGGCATAGCTACAAAAACATGGGAATAACTAGCCGTAATTAGGAGTCAGATCCTCTATAAATTCCAGTGGGGGAAGAGACTTGAGAAAAAAATCATTAGTAAATCACAGGGGGAAAATGATGATCATTCAGAACTAGTTTTCTAGTCAGCTTTGGAAACTGCTCTGTACAGCTAGGTCAATGTAGAATGTAATTGGTAATTTCTAGTTTACATTTTAAAATATCATCTGTGATGTTAAAAAAGTGGTCTGGAGACTCAAAGCTGTGAAGAATATTTACAGATAATAAACTAATTGTTAACAGAGAAAACCTGTTAACAGAGAAAGCCTGGCTGAAACCTCAAGAAGAAACAGCAGCTATTGGGAAGTAAAGCCTATTATAGATTATATTTTTCAGTCTACAGGGATTCTTTGCCACTCTGAGAAATTGTTCTTCATATTGCATTTTCCTTCCCATTAGTTCATGACATTGTCAAACACGGAACAATGAGAAAGATGCTTCCAGCAAACACTACTTTGTAAGGTGTGCCAGGAACTGAGAGAAAGATCAAATGTACATCTTCTGCAAGGCTTCAACATGCAGACCCCCGTGAAGTCCCACCTAAACACAGTAGCTATTCTACTGTGCCTGTAATGAGTACTCTGACACCCACCAGAATTAAAGACAATCTTGCTATTGACTTAATGCTCTTTGGATCAAGTCTCAAATAATCACACTGCATGTATATCCTAATGTCCAATGGTAGATCGAAAGAAGTAGAGGGACCCATCACAAATACTGTTTCTAAAGCTGGTGAATAGATTTTTACCATAACACTATGACTGAGAGACAATGAAGATTAAAGAGATGTATCATTTTCTGATCTGCTGCTACATCTGTTAAAGTTAATATCATAGGTAGAGTAAAGAAAACTGTATTTGGACATGGGGAAAAATTGCAAGGCAAAAACAGGAGGGGAAAAAGGTACAGAAGTAATTAATATTTAGCAGAAATGTCAAAGACACTTCCCTGGGTGACTACCTCTCCCTTTGTATACCAGTGTGAGCCTGGGTTAGGGGTTGTGTGGCTTTCACAATCATCTGTATTTAATCTATTTGGACAGTTACATGTAAATCCCAGTTCAATTGGATGTAAATTCCTTTGTGGTCCTTGTAACAATTACTTTAGCTTTTTCTGATTTATGTCTATAAAACTCTCATTCAGGAGTGGTATTATCTAAGGTAGGTATGTCTGGCTGGGACATTGGGTGTCAGATAAGTTGTTCTTGGTCCATTGTTAGTATATCCTTGCTGGCCGTGTGAGTTATAGCTTAACTGTTGCCTTTCATACTGTTAAGATTTGGGCTTACACTATCACAGCTAAGGTGTATCTGAAATCTGATATGTTGTAACAGAGGATGGGTGAATAAAGAATAAAAAGGATCAAAATCAATAATGAATTATAAATGTTTACATTTCCTGTTCAAACATTACCTATTAAAAATCATTATTGCACCTTTCTACCTATACACTCAGAGGGGTTGTTTAATGCAGGATTTGAGAATACAATAAAGGATATTGCAGAAGAATATGAATATATCAAACCTCAAAACACTCTTGTGGAAACTCACAGTATAAACAAACTGTGAAAAATGAAAATCTGATTCAAGAGAGATCAGATCTAAGCACCACTTTTGCCTTAGCTCCATCACATCCAAGACGCCAGTGATGCCTCACTTGCCCTTAGGCAGTTATTCTGATACCACCTGAATCTTTAACAAGGGAAAAACTGATTGGAAATTATTCCAGAGCTGCAATTATTTTTCTAAAGGTATTTTTGTCTGTACTTTTGTTGCTTCAGAACTAAAAAAAATACTGAAGAATCTGAGATGCAACACGAGCTACAGGCTGGCAGAGCCAAAACCAGCTTCCTAATGAGGAGTCTGGCACTGAGTCTGAGCACTGAAACCTCCAGCCATGGCACTATTAACACTGGTGGTGATGAACTGAAGCCTGGGGTATCAGCCTTGACAATTCTGCCAATGTCTGGCTGACAGGGACAGTGAACTGCCAGCCAATTTGTACAGCAGTCTCATATTCAAGGCATGGCCAAGTCATCAAAATTGTGGGCAGGAACCTGGGCATCCTGTGCCTCAGATATCCTCTGGAAAGTCTCCATAAGAAGGTGTCTTGATTTGGATGCGGATGTCTTGATTGGGAAGTGAGCATCTTGCTCTTTTCCTAAAATAACACTTTAAAGCTAAGAGATTAAATTTATCCCTAAGCACAGTACTTATAAATCCTGATGCTTAGAGTAACTTTACTCTCCCAAATCAGAGATGGAAATAAATCTACATATCTAAAAATCATAACTGTGTTTTCAAATACAGTTTGGGATCAAAAGAAAGCATATTAAATAAAATCCTAGTTTCTTTTCAATCCTTTTCCACTTATCAACACAATATGTTTAGTGTCTATAGCAAGAATGGTTCTCCCTAATTTTACCTCATTTAAACTTGATTCCATTTTGTTTCACATCATCAAAGCACTATGTAGACCTATGCCATTAAATAATTCTAATAGTGCCAATTTTTAAAATATCCTCAGATTCTAAACCTTGCCTTCACTTTAGCACTAAGTTTCATTCAAAGGTAACATTTCTTTCTATGTTGCAGTGAGATCACGAAAAAGAAAAACTCTATAAGGAATTCAGATATACTAAGCTTCAAGATAAGAATTAGAACAGAATATCCAAACTTTTATAAGCAGCCAGAAACTAGTCCAAAGTGTAAAACTCTAGCACATGCTGCCATGGATACTGGAACTAGAAGAGCACTCAACTCTGGAACTTCATCCACACACCTGCGGAATAGCAGAAACAACTAAAATTTCTGCAAATACATTTATGTCTGATATGAAAGACCTCTCACATGGGCAAACATTCTGGGGGTGGTGCCCAGGCTACTTTTTGACGACTCCTCTGGAAGTGAGTCCACTTTCTGTTTATAAGGAGTGCCGTAAGATAATTTTGTCCTTAAGGCTATTAATAGCCAAAAAGCTATTACTGGAGGAACACGGGTGACAGCCGTAATGCTATCTAATTCCTTTATAAATTCTCAGCGCTTTCATCTACTGATAAAAAGAATTGTGTTGAGAGCTCTTTTTTTTTTTTTTTTTTGGTAAATCGCCTCTAGTGTGATTGTTTTGTGCCCTTCCCCGACCACTGTTTCGTCTCTGCGACCGGGGGACAGCTCGGCCGGGGGGCCCGACAGCAGCTCCGGGACTTGGCTCGGACAGCGGCGGGCGCAGCCGGTCCCGGCCCCCGCGCCGGGAGCGCCCCGCTGGCGCACGGGGCCGGGCGGGCACGGGGCCGGGCGGGCACGGGGCCGGGCGGGCGCGGGGCGGGGAGATCCGCGGTCCGGCCTCTGCCGGCGCCCGCGGCCGAAGTTTTAACGGCGGCTGCTCGGGGGCGGAGGGGCAGCGGCCGGGAGGGAGCGGGGTGGGTGCCGGCCATGCCTCCCCCGCGCCCCGCGGCGCCGCGCGGCCGGAGCGCAGCCCCCGCCGCCGTGCCCCGTGGCGGCTGCGGGGCGCGGGGGGCCGCTGCCCGGCGCTGAGCAGCTCTGCGGGGCGATGTCCTCGCTGGTGAAGGAGGACCTGGCGAAGAGGCTGTTCGGCCCCCGGCGGCAGAGGCTGCACGAGTTCATCGAGGTGGAGGGCGCGGGCGCGCAGCGCTACTACCTGTGCGCCGCAGGTACGGGGCAGCCGCCGGGCGGGGCCGGGCTTCAGCGGCTCTGCGGGTGGGAGTCGGGGATGCGAGGGAGCGGGGCCGGGGCTCAGCGCCCCGGGCCGCAGCGGGCAGCGCCTCGGCCCGCACAGCGCGGAGCCCGGCTCGGTGCGGCAGCCCCCGGAACGGCGCGGTCTCCGACTCCTGATTCACACCGGCTCCACGTTTGACACCAGCGGAGAAACACGCAGCTGCGGGCGGTGCTTTGGCCGTGGCGGTGCTGTGAGTGCCTGAATTACTCTGAAAAGAGTAAACCCTTACAATAGTTCTAGTCAGGATTTTTTTACAGATTCTGTGCTAGAGTCTAGATATTCTTGCCAGGTTCTACAGATTTTTTCCCCTGCATTAACATTGCAGGAAACATTTGTAAATTTTTTGCACTATCCCTCGGCTTGGTCTAATGTCCCGCATATTGTCCCTATTCCACTTCGAACAAATTAGACTTGTGGTTTAAATAAATACACATTGGAATTAGTAATTAGCACAAACTTCGAGAAAAACAAGATTGCTTTAAGTCGAAATTATCTGGCTACTTTCTAAATTTCTTTTCAAGTGAATCATCTGTTTCACAGAGGTTTCAGAAAAGCTGGTTTGTGTGGGGTTATTTAAATTATTGTTTCAAATCACTGAAAAATGCTAAAAAGAAAAATGTCATCTGTAAGTAGTTATGTTGAAGTGAATGATTCTTTCAGTCTGTTTCCTCTTCAGGTTTCAAATACATACAATAGGTAGAAAAAAAATCTGTGTACTTGAGACATATATGGGGTTGTCATCCAGTATTCTATATTCATTATCTTTCTAAAACCCTGAAGTCCTTAGAATGCTTGAGCTGTGTTACTGATTGTCAGAAATCCTGAGCCAGCTATGCTCCCTGTACTCCTTTAATTTTGGTAGAACAGGCTTTGTATGATAGAACTGTAAAAACAGTTTTAAGGAATTTATTCCTGCATACCATAGGGCTTCTAAACATATGGAAATACCAATCTCATTCATAGTTTATGAAATTATCAGTAGAAATATGATTAATTCCATGTTGGAGTGCTATAAGGAGTTCACTTCGTGAAACTTCAAAAAAGGAGAATTAACATTATGCACCTTTAAAATCCTTCCTAAAATCTTTTTCAGGTAGAAGAAAACAACCATTAAAGAAAGATTCTGAACAGATTTAGTGATTGGAAGTCTCTAAAGACATAAAGGAAAACTCATGTAGACTATTAAGAGTAGGATCTCTCCACTATCCAATATTAAACCCTCTTAATATATTCAGGCACGGTTGAGTAAGTGGTGTGTAGAGTGGAAATCTGATTCTAAAAGATGGGTTGCATCCAGCTGCCAGCAGCTACTGTGTTCTGCTGTGATTTTGTAGGAGCAGAATACATTATCTAACATCCCTGCAATGCAACTTCTGTGTATTTCTGTTGATTTCAAATTACCATTAAAAAAAAAAAAGAGTCAGTCAAACTATAGGCAAATCTTCAGAGGTCCTTGCCTTTTGAAATGTGTGTTACAATGAAATCCTAGTGTGGATAACTGAACAATCTTTTTTTGTGCCATATGGCCAACACTATTTCCTCTCCCTTTCACAATAGCAAGTCCCAATCCTTGCATGAAGGTGACAGTATCATTTTACAGAGCAGTTTATAAACCCCAGAAAAAACATAGAGTTGAAATGCAACCCCATTCAGGGGTTTTTGCAACCCAGTATTGGTACACCGAAGAAAGAATGGTAGGGATAGCATTTTGTCCTGCAGAGACACTGGAAAAGGTGTTTAGCCCATGAAGGGCTTTAAGAAATACTTTGTCCTCTATGAAGGTATTGCCATAGCTGTGCCCTCCTCAAGCAAAGGTTTTAGAGCTTAATATAATGACATAGTAGAGCTGAGCTCATGCTCTCTATGAAAAAAAATGTTATTTGACTCTTTTAACTGAGTGCAAGATCAAGCAGTATGTAAAATGCAGGAAAATTATTTTTTTTTCCTTAACTGAAAATAGCACACCCAAGTTTCACCACTGGGTTCACTATACATAACATCTGTACTCTGTCCTTGTGTCATGGGATTTCTGTTGTCAGAGGGGTGGAGCAGTAGTAGTGTGGGGATCTGGGGGCCCTTAGGACATACCTTTGGGGTTTGGACTTAACTTCCGTTAGTTTTAACTCTGAGGGACACAACATATTCCCTTATAAGCTAGCAAACCAATAAACAAAATGAGTGAAACTGAAAGTATGAAGAGAACTTCCTAAAATTAATCTGCTAGATTTGCTTGCAAATGAAAACCATTGTAATTTATCCAATGAAGATAACACAGGGGTGGTCTTTTGGTCAAAAATGATTGAGTAACTATGACTGATAAAACCAGGGAAAAAATTATTTGTATTTCCCAGGCAGGGAAGCTGTAGGTTGAAAGAAATTATGATCAATTTATATATTTTCCACTGGTTTTCTTTGCAATGGAAAGAAGGAATATCTCCAACATATATACTTTGTTGCTATTTAATAACCTTTTTCTTATAAGCAGGCGAGAATAAGAGATGTTTTAATAGGAGGAAGGTAAAATTAATAAGTTTCAAAATGGGGTTTCAAAAATTCAGGCAGTTTTAGAAATAAAAACATTTTGCTCCTGTGTTCCTAGCCTTGTGCTGTGAAGTCAAGATGCTCTGGCCAGATGTAGGTGACTTCTTGGCCATAACTTGGGCTACCAGATAGCTTGGGAATGTAGCCTGCCCTGCAGCCATCAGCAGCTGGATGTGCAGGAGATTGTTCAGGCTCTGGTACTTTTCACACTCGTAATGGTCTGTTACAGAAATCCAGTCTCCTACTCAGCACTCAAGGTAATCAATTAATAATGGTAGTTATTGCAAAGAGCAGCTTCATGCTCTTTTTAATCTCATTTCCTGCCTAAGTTTGAAAACAGTAATTTCTATAAATTTAGTACTAGACCACTGGAAGCTTAAAGAAAAAAATTTCAAGCTGATTTAATTTACATTCTATATAGGGAAATAAGAGTTTTGCTTTAAAAAGTAATGGCTTCATGAGAGAAGTTCCTTCACACAATGGAAAGTATAGCACAAGTCATGTAAATACAGAACCTTGGTAGAGGTTTTGCAATTTCCTAACTGCAGCACCCCAAAAAGTCTCCCTCTTGAAGGAAGTAAGCTAATGCAAACCCAGTGCCAGAATGAGGATTCCATTGCAGTGCTAATGAATTCATATGAAAGGCTTTTGAACAGACAAGGCTCTTTCTTTACAGGGTGTGTAAGGTAAATCCTAAATCTACTAAAATCTGACAGGTTTCATAGACTGACAACACGGCACTATTCTTACTACCTGAGCAAAATAAAGCTATCAAGTCCAGTATAACCCAATACAGCCCTGCCTGTCATGGTTTAACTTTGGGAAGTACTTGCTTGCATATCTAAACTACTTTTTTCTTGCAGTAACTAAAAATAAGGAAGTAGAAATATGTATGGTTAAACACTGGCGTGTGGATCGAGAGGAGAAATATGAAATAGTTGAAAAGTGGTTTTTGAAAGATCTGGAGATGATTGATGGAAAAGAAGCAGATACAGTAAGTGTTACATTTTGTATTATGTACATAGAAAACAATTTTCTTGTTTTGCAGTTTGGGATACAAGAATTAAAATGCATTATCTGAAAAATAAAATTAAGTTACCAAGGAATTTTGGTTTTATTGTATGTGAGAGGCTCCACATCACATTTGCACTGTTAGAGAAGAGGAAGGTGAGATTTTTGTTTGTTTGTTTGTTTTTTAGTTTATTATAATAGCCTTCATCTCTGTTTGAGACTCGAGTCAGAAACTGGGTGTTTTCTAATTTGGTCATCATAACTGGTACTAATAGTTCTCCCATCTGCAGCTTCCAGTGTCAACTGCAGTTAATGTAATAGATTTTAGAGTGTATTTGAAAACAAAATTTCATTAAAAATTTTATGGACACTTTCTTCTGAACTGTTGTGCTAAAATATTCTTCAGAAATTATTCAGCCCTTCACAACTGGGATGATAAAAATCTGTCTCATTTTTGATGAAAGAAAAGCCTAATCGAACCTCAAACTCATGTGGTCATTAACACTGCTATAAATATTCATAATAGGTATTCATATCTATAGAATTTAAAATAATTTATCTGCTGCTAGGATTAATTATGTCAAAGAGCCAGAACACTCAAAGAAATACAACTCAGTCAGGAAGGGCAGGCAATCAATATTCTTCTTGTCCCACAGAAATAGACAGTTATAGTCCAAGACAAGTGCTTTTCATATACTGTTTTAGACAACATAATAAATTAATTCAGTTCAAAAAAAGAGTGTGCAATCCCAATAAAGTACAGTATACTGCTTGAGAAAACTTAGAAACTCTTACTCAGGAAAAATTCCCAATGACAAAGAATTACAGCTGCTACTTTTTTAAGTTTTAAAATACTATTTAAGATGAATAGAAGTATGTGAAGTCCTTTAGAGCCCATCATACTGAGAAAAAGCCCTGTAGGTAGCTGGGCAGAGCACAACAGATTGCAATTCTAACTCAATGTGTGTAGTAATTTCATTCTCTCTCAATTTTTTTTTTTAGGATAATCCATATTTTGATATGCATTTCCACAAAGTCTACAATATGGAAGCATATAGTTGTGCATCTAAATATACCTTTGCTCGAACACTAAACAAACTGAATGCCATGTACCTTAAGAAGGACTTCAAGATTGTGAACTTTGATGACACCTACCTAAATGATGATTCAATCTGGTCATCCAGCAATAGAGATTTCTTAGTAGTTATGAGGGTTTGCTTCTATGCTTCCAACCTTTTATGTCTCTCCCTCTGTCGTTTCTCCTAAAGATGTATTTTCTAACATTAAGGTGACTGGCTGACTTTCACTGACCAGCATTTCATAAACTGTCTGATCAAAAAGCTAGTAGCTGATACGCAGTGTCTCCTTTTTAATTTTACATGTAAGTAAAAAGTAGAGCATACATTTTACATTAATAGTTGGTAATTCATTTATATGTCTTAAGAGGTCCTCACTCTAGCAAGTACTTATACGTACAAGAGACTGGAAACGTAGTACCAGTAATTATCATGGTCAGTGGTGATTGCTTATGTAAGCAGTGTTTAGCATTTGCATATATGTTCATGGAGGTATAAATTATCTTTCATTAATAGCTTGAAATACTTTTGCAGTATTAAGAGCATTAACAGCTAGTTATATCTTGGAAGTAGGGAAAAAAAAGTAATCAGTAGAGTTCTGTATGAGAATGATGCACATTTGCATTTCCAACTGTGTTGAAACACAGAACTTCATTAAAGAGATCACACCTATATCCCTACAAGAATCCAGTTCTCATCCTGATGCATAGAAGTGCTGCATTCAGGTACCATGGGACCAACTTTTCACCTATGCAGCTATATTATTTTTCCCACAGAACATTTAGTATTCCCTATGGCCATCACATTATTTGTAATACTGCCTTAAAAAAACAATGTTCTTAAGCAGCATTGCTTTGTCTGACCTTTCAGAACTTCCATAACATTAATATGTCCTTTCTTGCCCTTCATCACTTATGAACAGCTGTGGTTAGGGAACAGAAAGTGTCTCTATCTCTAAACCAAAGGATAAGAAAACAGCAGTTGTTGGCTACTACAGTTACTTTTTAGGCAAATGATAGAGTTTTCAAAGTTAGAATAATGAGAATTATTTTCGCCAATTTCTAGCTAAGTATAAGCATGTTCAGTGCACTACCGAAAGACACATTAGTACTTAGAGCTACATTTACTATGGGGTGGAGTCTTGATTGCTTGGAACAGCTCACAAAATGTAACAGCTGGACTTGTGTTAGCAGTATACTATGGTAGAAACAGAGGATAAGTGGCAGCTGTGTTGAACAGAAGCTGAAGAGAACAATGTTAATGATAAGAAGCATGGTGTCACCATCGCTGACACCCAGTGTCAGTCAGCTAAGTTAGCTGGCTGTTCATCCCATAGTGAATAAAAAAATGCCGACCCAAAGTAAGCTCCATTCAGAGAAGCTTCTGGTCAGAATGTCCTGCAGGAGAAAATTCTTTTTCCTTTGGTAGCCAAGAGAGACCAGGAAGGCAGGCTGTGGGCTAAAGCAGGTATGGACCTGGAGCTGAGATATCAGCTGCCAGTAGATCACAGGCTGGTTCATATCCTTGCTCATCTCTAACATGGGATATCTGTGCAAGGGTACTCTGCTGTACTTGTGGCTTGGACTTTGTCTTTCATGTGAACTCCCACCTTTGAAAACATTTGTGTAAATGTACTTTGAATTCAAAATTGAAATAATATCAAATAAGTGAGAATATATTTGAAAACCTGTAAAAATTACAGCTTTCTACTTTTTAAATGTTATCCTATTGTGTTTATATAGAAAAGCCCATACCTTTTATTAGTTAATATTCAGAAGTTAGATATTTATTCTAGGCATATATTGCAAATTACGTTGGTTCTAACACAGGTCTTAGTAATTATTACTGTACAGTAAGACAGCTGTGAGGGCAGTTTATGGGTAACAGAAATCCTCTGGCATTTGTAAGGTCTTAAATTTGCCACCGAAATACTGTTAGAAAGAAGAAATGTAATTTTAGTGTTTGTTTGCATAATACAGTTGTTCTTTGGAGAATGTCTTTGGGATAATCCAGTGTAAGTGGGCATGCTGTGACATTTGATTATTAGCTACAAGAAGTATTTGCCCAACATCCAGGTTCCACAAAACCATCTTATATAGGAAGTAGAATTCATGCTACTGCTATCTATGATACATTGTCTTGTTTGAATTGTGTGTTGATTGTTGAGGTCACAATGTTTTCCACAATATTTACAAATTCTTTCCTTAATAGGCACAAGGAAATGTTTTCTGGCTGGAAAAGCTTTCATCATTCAACTTGTAATTGTTAGAACTCTAAAAATGCGCACTTCAGAGCATTCCTTTGAAATAAAGTACATGTATACTGAATTCTTGCCCAGTAATTGTGTGTATCATTTTAGAAAATAATGATAGCTAAAAAGCTAATATAATGTTCAACCATATTCAATGGACTCCCATTGGTAGTTTATACATTTTTATTCTTGTGTGATATAAACATGTCATGAACTATATTGAAAGACACAAACCTGCATTTTCTGTGGAAGAATATGGAATTAAAATATCTGGCATCTCTTCTTTCTGATAATGTAGTATTTCAGACATTCTTAATTGAGTAGTCAGACTGAACAAAAAAAAATGGGAAAACCAGGGACATTGTCCATGTAAATTATTTCAGTTACTATAAAACGGAAGAGTTTAAAAGATCTTTGTGGACTGAATCTAGGGGCTCCTTACTTTCACACAGTTCTCTCTAAGATGCCAGTTACCAAGACTCTGTAATTGCCTGATGTGCTATGGGAAGTCTGAGGGACACTATCACTTTGTGGTGAGCATAGCGTGGCTGCACCACAGGACACAGAGAATATGCTAAATAATGAATGGAAAAGATCTAACAGGCTAAACAGCCCATCTTTCAGTTAATGCAAAATTATTTCCTACATCACATTTCCTGACCTTAGGTAAATGGAATGTAGTTGGAAAAAAGTATCTGGGGATTAATCTAGTTCTCCTGGAAGAATTCTCCAAAACTGACAAGGAACAAACTGAGGGGAGTAAAGGATTATAGGAATGAATCTGTAGCATTCCTATAAACGGTTTCAACTACATGATTAGAATGAATATGTGAGGTTGAGGATATAATGCAGATTTTCTTCAGAAGACATTCTTCAGAAGCAATTAGCCAACTCTGTTCCAGACAGAAGAAAATACATGGCAGCCTGAAAATGAAGATGAGTGATCATAAGCAGACAGAAATTCATGCTCACATAACAGGCAGAAAGGGAACAGAGGCTGTCATAGAAGACAGGTGATTTTTTAAAGGTATTTATCTTAAAAACATCGGAATTAAGACTACGGGGAAACCTATGACAATAGATTTTATTTAAATTTTATTTATTGAGAGCAGAAATACTCCTCTCCTTTGAATTTATTTTTCATGGTTAGCTAATATTTTCTTGCATCCTCAATTAAGGAAATGCAGATCAGTGTGGAATTTAAAAAAAAAAAATGGCAGTGAAAGAGAACAGGGAGCATGTTCTAGACTGTGCCTTCTAGGTTACTTCTCATACTTCTTCTCCTTTGTGTTTTGGAGTCATACCTATAATAACATACTTCTTTCCAACACAAGCCTATATTGCTTTCCCTGCCAGCTACCTATTTCCCAATGCTTTCAGTCACTTTCAGCATAGAAATCTTTTTTCTAGTAAAGTGAGTGATTGTATTCCATAATTTTTAATATGTAATTTAAGAATATATTTTCATGACTTAAAGTCAGTATTGAAAGATCAAACACCCTTTCTAAAGAGCATTTGTGGAAGAGCATCTAAAGTAGGAGGGGAGAGGATGGCACAGGGTAGATAATCTCATATCAGTTTTTATGTGTAAACCCATTTTAGCAGTAAAAAGGGCATTTTAGTGTGGTTTCCTTTTTCTTTTAGCATAATTAAAGCTAAAAGTTAGGAAACTAGCATTCTCCCTAATAACAACAGCTTTATGGAACATTGTCCAGTATTTTATGGCTGCCTTGTCCAGTCTTTATAAATCTAGACAGACATACACATTTTGTGGCTGAATTGAGAAATTATCAAACTATAACTTCTATTTTAACCATGGCCCTCGTGAATGATATATTATAGAATCATACAGCATGTTGTTTTGTAAGTGAGAAAACAAAAGTACATTCAGCAAGACTTAATTGGTCAGTCATATTTAATCACAGAATATTCTGGGAAGCGACATGCAAGGATTATCAAATCCAGCTCTTAAGTGAATTGCCCATATGGGGCTCAAACCCACGGTGTTGGTGATGTTAACACCATGCTGTAATCAACTGAGCTCATCTCAATTAATGCTCCTGATCAAGTAGAAATATGATACAGGAATTACAGAAACACAGTTCTACATGTTAGAAATCCACATACTGGAAATTTAAAACAATTCCTTGGAAAGGATGTTTTCTGTTTATTGGTGGTGGCCTTGCAAATACATTTTATCAGATACACACTAAAATTAATAAATTATATACAATTTAAGTAATCTGGAATGATTTCAGTCTATCCTTAACTCTGCACTCCATTACATTAACAATGCTAAAAATTAGGTAAGTGTATTGATCATGTGGTGAACCTCTGTCACAGTGAAGGTAGTTCCAGTTTCCACAGAATTCATCAATGACTACAAGTAGCTATAACCAATTTGGACATCAGTTCTCATGCTAAATCCTAAATCTAGTCTCAGCATAATTTTCCTATTTGGATTATCACTGACATCAAAGACTGCCAATTAGTCCAGATTCTTCTACCTAGGAGCAAAGCAAAAATCTGACTGCTGTCCACAGATTATGAATATGAACTGAACATGAGCCAGTGAGTGCCCAGGCCAATGGCACCCTGGCCTGTGTCAGCAATAGTGTGGCCAGCAGGACCAGGGCAGGGGTTATCCCCCTGTGCTCAGCACTGGTGAGGCCTCATCTCCAGTACTGTGTTCAGTTTTGGGCCCCTCACTTTCAAACAGAAATTGAGGTGCTGGAGTGAAGGGCTGCAAGGCTAATGAGTGGTCCAGAAAACATGTCCTGTGAGGAACAGCTGAGGGAGCTGGGTTTGTTCAGCCTGGAGAAGGCTCAGGAGGGACCTCCCTGCTCTCTACAGCTCCCTGAAAGGAGGCTGTAGTGGGGAGGGCTTTGGGCTCTCCTGCTGTGCCTGCAGTGAGAGGACAACAGGAGACGGCCTAAAGC